GACCACATCACACAATCAACACTCTCTACACTTTACAGGATATAACATCATCATCACAGACCACATCAGACAATCAAACACTTACACTTACAGGGCATAACACCACCATCACAGACCACATCACACCATCAACACTCTCACACTTTACAGGATATAACATCATCATCACAGACCACATCAGACAATCAACACTTACACTGTACAGGCATAACACCACCATCACAGACCACATCACACCATCAACACTCTCACACTTTACAGGATATAACATCATCACCACCACAGACCACATCAGACAATCAACACATACACTGTACAGGGCATAACACCACCATCACAGACCACATAAGACAATCAACACTTACACTGTACAGGGCATAACACCACCATCACACAATCAACACTCTCTCTCTCTTTACAGGATATAACATCATCATCACAGACCACATCACACCATCAACGCATACACTGTACAGGGCATAACATCACCATCACAGACCACATCACACAATCAACACTCTCACACTTTACAGGATATAACATCATCATCACAGACCACATCACACCATCAACACATACACTGTACAGGGCATATCACCACCATCACAGACCACATCAGACCTTCAACACTGTTACATGGTACAAAGCGCTCCATCAGTTTCACAGACATGTTGTTTGTGTGTGGTTAATGTGTGGTAAATGTGCAACCAACCACGAACGACGACAGGGTGCAGGAAACAGATGGGGTGAACAAGTCAAACAAGGAAGTACAGGACATATTTCTTTCTTTAGTGCAACAACAGTCGGAAATACTGGATTCTGACAAAAGCTCTGAAATGAGAAATTGCAAGCACATTTACATTGTTTCAGAAAAGTGCAGATTAATGTGCCCAGAATGAAAGCACCACTATTGACTTAGTACTGGAGGCACATGCTCAGCAATCCGTGTTTGCTGTTTCAGTTATTTACAACTTGTGTCTGAGTGAGATTAAGTAGGAAACAACACCCACCAATCTCTTCGCTGTCATTCTCTGGTGTAGCAGCGTTGCATATACTGAAATATGAAAGAACATGCACTAATATGAACAAACGTATGTCGTGCAGTTTCTTTGTGTAAGAAGTTGTCTGTCTATCAATTATTGATATCAGTCAACACGAGGGTGAGATTCTATTTTTCATAAAAACCATTCTTCTGTAGTTTTCAATGAAAAATGTACATCTCTTAAGACTGGACTACCATTAGATCTGCAGTGCAGAGATGTCATAGCATTGTGATGATGATGATGTCATAGCATTGTTAGGACATTGTCAATCTACTGTCAAAACGGTATCTCCTAGGAGATAGCATATGATCTCACACAAGCGATATCTCCCGTGGCACACAGTTTTGGATGATAAATGCAATTGTATATATGATGTTTATAAATTTTGATTTTAAAATGACGTTTCGTCAACAGGACCTGACCCGTTTATATAGATAGGAGGTTATGTGATATGTTGCTTACTTGCCCATCAGTTTCCGCGAACCTGCAAAGTAAAGAAGAACTAGAACATTCGGAACACAAGTTATGTGTGTTTAGGAAATGACGTGATGCAAGCTCTTTCAAACTTTTAAAGAAACCCATGGTAGCTTATTTTCAAACAAAGAAATACTGACGTGAACCGCCACTAGACAGGAGGTATCCATCTACAGCAGAAATAGCACTTCCAGTGGCGACAACCGATTACTTTGACATAGAGATCAGGTACATAGTTGACTTGCCCACGGGCACACCTCCTAACCCCTGGTTGTTGTTGACGTCATGGATGTGTACCGCAGCCATGTCGGGAATTACAAAGAACTGTCTAGCAGAAACTGCAGTCACCGCGCCATTCGGCTACTACTTACCGACCCAGCTAGAACGTCTCCTTGTCAAAGTCCACACCACAACAACGATGCAGATACACACAGGCCCTGCTGCAGACCCAGCTATGATGAGAGTAATACCAGTGCGGCTTTCTGGCAGATCCCCTGTAAGCAAAACATGTTGACTTAGGGTATATATAAGCAACTCCATCACCTTTGCAATATCTCCTAATCGTGAGGGGTGTGTGGGGTGTGGGTGGCCTAGTGGTAATAGCGTCCGCTCGTCAAGCTGAAGACATTCCTCTGGTGTCCCCGCCGTGATTTTGCTGACATATTGCTAACAGCCTAAAAACATGCTCACCATACTCACTCCTTATAAAGTTAGTCCTAAAAGATACAACTGCCGATGAAAAAATTGTTCAGCTCTTCCGCCCATGTACACTGCCAAATATTATGAGTAACCCAGACCCTACCCTGCCTTGTTTCTAGTTTTATAGACCTGAGTAGAGCCACATATATCGCTCTGGTAAGATAACGCGTGCATGTCAAGACTGATGTCATCTCAACGTCGACATGTAACAAGCATGCTGCAAATGAATGTTCATTAGAATATAATTATGATAATATCTTCTGAACATTATGAATAACAGTTAAAACGTTTTGATGTAAAATTGCATTGCAAATGTGTTAACCAGCCTTCCCTTAACTGTTTCTATAGGGACTACCACAGTGAAGGCTCTAAAGATCATTAGACTTATTGTTGAATTACTTTCGTTCTCGCACACTACATTGGCTACACGTAAATGGTGGACTCTTTTTACCAATGGTAATGATGTTGCTTCTACTGGTCTCCAGACCGCACTGCCAATCTGTTCTTGTAGTCGCTCCGTTGCTGAACCTCAGAGTAACGTTATACACTGTACCGTCACAACTCAGGCTGGTTTTGCGTGAGAAGTCATAGTATTCATTGCTCTTGGGAGTAATTTTACAATCATTATTGAAAACACTTGTCTGGAAGAGAACTTCTCCATTTCTGTACCAGTCAATTATAACAGTTGCGGGCTCGACATGTTAGACTGAGGTTTGCTCCGTCTTCTTCTGTAACTGACAGGCTGGTGAAACCTGGATAACAGTTTTAGTGATACTTGAATCGACGTGCTTAACGACAACATAGAGAGCGTTCATCATATATGACGTTTGTGCACAGTAATTGGAACATGTTTCACTGCAATTACTTCAACTCTTGCAGGTACACCAGTGGTCGTCTAACACAAATGCATTAGAAGTTTAGTCTACTGACATTCGGGTTGGTTGGTTTGTTGTTTAACGCCGCAATAATCTATATTCCAGCTATTTGACGGCGTGTACCCCTCACACACATGTGAAATTATCACTTAGAAAATATGAATGTAGGGAATTACACTCAATTTGTGGTGTTTATATGAAAGTAATGCTAAGTAATGTATGAAGTTAAACTTACTGTTGTTCATCCATGTATTCACAGCGTGGATAATCGCGCAGGACACATTAAACAACTCCATTGTTGGTGTGGCCTCTGTGTGTGTGAAATAACTAGTCCCAGATGGAGGAAGTGATACAGCTCACTGGCATCCGATGTAAAGATGATTAGAAACCATTGCTGGAAATCCTGTTGTGACGCATACTTCCTGTTGTGACGCATACTTCACGCATATAGGGACGGAACATTGACCGCAATTTGCTGAGGTTTACTACATAGGCGCCCGACTCTGATATATGTACATGTATGATCTATATATATATAAGATATAAAAAAGGAGTGTCAGTAAATCGAAACAAAATGGCGGCCCGGCTCGGCTCGGCTGGGTTTCGGTCTGACAAACGTGTGCAGTTTATTCAACGGTCAAAGCGATGGAAGCGTTTGTCAGACCGAAACCCAGCCGAGCCAAGCCGGGCCGCCATTTTGTCTCGATTTACTGACACACCTTTTTATATCTTATATATATATAGATCATACATGTACATATATCAGAGTCGGGCGCCTATGGTTTTACTATTGCCAACGAATGGTTTGGGCAAGAATTCTTGCAAAGCATCCAACAATTTTAAGGCATGCACTACGACAAGGCGATGAATACACACACACACACACACACACGTACGCACGCACGCACACAAGTGCGTGTGAGTGTGTTTAATGTGTGTGTGTGTGGCGTTGTCAACGTGAAATGTCAAATTGTAGGATAAATGAAGTACTTCTATCTTTTTCATTTACTATGTGAAGTAAGTTATACATGGATGTGTATGTGGTAAGCGTTCATTAGTATATTGATATTCTTTCCAGATATCTGTTGGTTACTCTTACTCGTGGCCACACATGTACAGTGCACCCTGATACAAATGCCACCCTGGATATAACGCCATGTTTTTGCCAGAACGGATTTCCTGCCTATGTAGTACCTGTTTAGAATGCCAAACGTGATATAATGCCATTTTCCAATGGTTTTGGTAACAAAAGTCATTTTCCCCTAGATGTCAATTACACTGGCTGCATGTAGTATACATACCTTAATTGGTGAATTGCCATGACCCAGATTAATTCACCAAACCTATTGATGTTTTAAGTAGTCTTGTAATCCCAGATGGGATAACATGTGACAATACACTTCCTGCCACCTACACCAAGAAGTCACCTGCAGCCCCTAGACGCTGAGATTATCGAGTCAGTCAAGGTTCATTATAGGAGACATCACCTTGTTTATTGCACAGGGCCTCTAACTGTCCTACCTGTTTATAATGCCAGCCTGGCTGTAATGCCATACTTTCTCCAGGACAGACGGTGGCATTATAACCAGGGTATACTGTATCACTTTGACTGAACGAGTGAGTTTGGATTAACGCCTTTTTGCGCAGTATCCAGTTAAATGCCGGCCTTTCAGGTAGATGTGAAGGTAGGTCTAAGATGTTTATCTGTTGGTGAAACCTACAAGCAGCGGCATTGTGCCGCCAGACGCTGAAACATAAACGAGGGGCAACATGGGGATTTCGGATTCGGGATTCGATCCCACGATGAAAGGTTTCCGGCGAGTCAAATGCTGATGGAGGCTGCGTCTGTTAATGTATCACTTTGCGTGATCCAAGACTGTACATGGAAACACCACAACAACTTCTCACAATTAGTAGTTTCGTTTTATTGTTTCAGCATCTCAACGATATGTGGACATTTTATACATATTGAGGAGACTTGGCGGGCATTGATGCTGAGCTTGATTTCCTTCATTGGATTAAATTTGATTCGTTTTATACAAACACACACCTGTACAGTCATGGTGATTGTGTCAGGGCCTATGTTGCGCTGGTAGTCTGTGATCTGCAAGCATACATGTGTGTACCTTTTCAAAACTGTTCAGTGATTTGTATCAAGAATAGTCTATTTTAAAGCATATTATTGCCACTAAACCAACAGTTATCAGACAGCCGTCCTATATTTCTTTCAATAAAAAGGATATATGTACGACAACAAATTATGTCATTTAATAAATGGCACATGCTAAATCAAAAGGTGACAGAATACATATCAACACACTGCCCTACAGGGGTAAAGGCAACTGTGTATTCACAGTTATAACCAGTTCTAACAGCCAACACACACTGTATCCACGACTTCAAATCAACTCGCCATGAAGTATTATTTTGGTATTATTATTTCACCTTCATTATCAGTGAGTGTTTCAGATGTTAAGGTCATACCACTTGGGTGAAATATTAAAAAGGCATGTCCTGCTCATTATCAGTTTTGCTGGACAGCACATCTGTCGTTCGATTCTCGATATATTAGACGTATGGCCGTATTTCCGATACCCAAACATTCATTACAGTTCCTGTTATTGTTTTTTAAGTCCTACTTCGACTGCTTTTAACGGTTCACTTCAACTTTACGGTAAATGTGTGATGCGAAAGAATCGAATTGTAAATATTTACCGTCTTTGTGGATAATTCTTCACAACATTTAATATTCTAATATTGTCTACCATCACTAAAATGTAAACCATTGTGTATATGTAACGCCGAGTGAATCAGCATTAGGTTGGATGAAAGAACGACTATTGAAAGGCGTATGCAGTCTGTGAAGAAGTTTTGAAAGATTTGGTGAGTAAAGTAAACAAACGTGTAACAGAGTGAGTGAGTGAGGTAATATTTATCGTCACATCGGCAATATTTCAGCCATATCGTGACGAGAACAATTAATGATTATATCATATATTACTAAAATTAGAAATTAAAACGTATTGACGAAGAACAGTAAAACTACTAGTATATCACAGAACTCCAGTTAAAACTAGTGATGAAATCTAAACCATGTTAGCTAGAAATGACAAGACAATGTAAAACAGGATGTAGATTGCCAACAACTGAAGGTAGATCACCATACTTGGGGCCATGGGGACTTACACTACATTTGCTTCCTGCATGGACCCTAGCTGGATTTTACACCATCCCTTCATCAGTTTAGACACATCTAGCCATACATTAAAACACACATATTCTACGATTAAAAGGTTCTTCGAATGTTTTGGGACTTACGTACCCTCTCAGGGGACAATACTTTTACAATACTTCAACCTCTTTGAGGGTAAAGCCACTAACAATCTCAGTTACTAATCTAAATTACCAATAATAAAATATTTATCTATTTACAAATCATTTAACAAATCTAATTCTTTTAAAAATGCAATAAGTAAACAAACGTGTAACAGAAACAACAGTGTGTGTTGTTTTCTTCCTTATGACACCTGTCGTTTTAATATTCACATTACAGCACACTCTTTCAAACAATGAACGACCTTTCAGCTGCAAGTCATGTCCCTCCAGAATGCCAGTCATTGGATGTCTGAGGAATGCGTATATTCAAGGTTATAAGAAAGGGAAAATGAATTATTGTAGCACTGATGATAAAACCATAACGTCGCACATTCACATTGTAAAACGTCATAGAGAATAGGCCAGTCGTACTAAGGGCAAGGAGTAAGGTGTATTCGATGGGAAGACGACACACATATTGGAAGAGACAGTTCGCTTCCTTGTTACACAATCAGACCAAACCCAGCATGGGCTGATCGTATCAGGAAGAACGATTTTTGCAGTGTCCCCGAGAAAATATTGAGGAAATTCAATCAGAAACAAACAATATCAAGTATTGTTTTCTGTTTTGCATCCTGTCACATTGCAATCAATGTACATAAAGTTATTTTAAAATGTGTTGGGTTTTTTCTTTTGACTTTTGTATTTCTCTACACGCATCACATTATATCTACAGCCAAATCTATTTCACAAAATGTTTTAAGGAATTAAAAGGAAAGAAGAGAACACCTAACCAATCTTGTCATTCTCACTGTTTGCGTTATCTTCATTCTCGCTGAAATGTACACCAATGTTGCTAGTATCTTATCCATGGATAGTTTCTGCCTTCATAAACAAGACATGTCTATCATGCATAACGGTGTTGTTTCGGATCTCGTATGGCTTAGTTTGGTTCAAATAAACAAGATACTGACAATCTTCGTGCTTCGTATTATAGTGTTGTATACAGAGATCTTTTTATCATATAATATCATTCTTAAAAATACTCTTACAAAAGAAGCAAATCGTATGTGAATTTATATGAAGAGAATCGAGCATTCACGTAAGAATATTTAGCGGTACACCAAGGTGAAGGTCGTTAATGACGGTGGCAAATGGTTGTGAATAGTCCCTAATACAGTGCAAACATAACTCATGCTTAAAATACGATCTTTCCGTGTAAAAGAACAACAAAATCGGGCAAGGTTTTCTTGGGAGTGTTTCTATTTTCATTGCAGTTAACCACCTCCCACCAATATTAGTTTCTGATACCTGCCGGAATCGATTCGTCGTCTGTATTGTGATCGATGGATCATGATCCTTGGTTGGTACCTTTTCTTAGACGATTGCCTGTCAGTCGTGCCTCATAATCCGTACCTTCAATTTGAACGAAGTACTCCGTTTCACGATTTCCGAAGTCAATTACTGCAGTAACGACTCCAGAACATCTGTCGTCAATTCTTACAGAATTACCAATTTTGAGAATGGGGGGCAGCCATGTTTGTTACAGACAATGTAAACTCGCGACGACGTCATCAATAAAATGTTAAAACGTTTTAGGATTCGCATGGCGTGTATGGAGTTTTGTGAAAGTAGTTCGCGGATTGACGTAATTTGCATAGTTATCAGATCTGGATACCAAATTTATCAGATTGCTTTTTTGCACCGATAACACCCTCTATTAGATGATAAATAATATATATTAGTATATAATAGTTTTAACATGGAGACCCACTGATATATCAGATTCTATGCATCACATGTTCATCCAACACTCACGTCTATTTTTTTCTGACCGGCTGAATCTGAAGGCTTGCCCCAAAGCTCGGATGTTCCTACAAGTTACAATATGTCAGGATATATATCAAATTAACTTACATATAATAAGATATGTGCGTTGTAAATTCCGTTATCAACACCAGTTGAACACACAGTACAAGGAAGTAACATGTACAATGCAATGTACATTCTATTGCAATCAGGTACATACATTCCATGCATTGGTATTTGTGTGTGTGTGTACAGTGGGGTGAGGTGAATGGGGTTTTACGTCGCTTTTTTAAGATTATTTCGCTCACATAACGACGTGCATGCGTGTGTATATGTAGCTGCTTGTACTAGCCCAGACTTAAGATGTTTTTTTAGTACTAGCCCACTGAGACACCATGCCGCAGTTAAGCATGAATACCCCACTCAGACACATTATACTGACTCCGGAGGCGACCAGCCCATAAATGCCGAGCGCCAGGCTGGGACCAACAAATTACCATATTTTAAAGTATTTTGGCATGACGCAACCGGAGATCGAAAACGCGCGAACGTCTGTTCTCCGGGCGGACGCTCCAGGCATTACACCAAGGAGCGGTATCCTGCTTTTCAAATACTGAAACCTGAACTGATTGTGTCGCGACATGTTTTATGACAGTTCCTCAGGGAACACCTGTTTCGCTTTCCATCAGACCGCATTACGCCCTACTTTGTGTTTTCTCGTATATAATCATCACGATGGAAATCCATATTTCCTGGTAGTAACTCGTCCGACAGGCTCACAGTATCTCAGATACAAATGAAGAAGTGTAACTAGGCATTCTGTGCATGTTTAGTCCATATACGTTATGTCCATGTTAAGTGTCCCATTCCTGAAGACGCCCGGACATATTAAAGACTTTGTGTTGTACAGGAAATGGACTGGGCAGATTCGTCACTTAAACTGGTAGAACCCGATAGGAGCTGTTGTTAATCTGCAGGAACCTCCAAAATTCTGCCATCAAAACCCTTTGCCCCATCTATTTAAGTGGTCATGGTGCTCAATGCTAAAACATGGGAGTTAAGATGATCTTAGCACTAATTTAATGTCATGGCGTATATCTCTGGGTCCAATCTCGATAACTTACAGGCTACCGTCATATAACTGGAACAGCATCCACTATAGAATAACTCACCTTGTACTTGTCCAAGATCTTCTTCTTCCTTTTCCAGAAACCCGACGTAACAGACATTGTCCACCATCACTCAAACATGTCGCCATATTTAAGACATCCAGCTGGTTACATCAATGACAGAAACTAATTTACATGACGATCGACTTTGAACTAAATACTTTGATAAATGGGATCTGCGGGGTAGCCAAGTTGTTAATGCATGTAAATGTCACAAGGAGACCCAGGTTCGACTCCACACATAGGTCTCTAATGTGGGTAGTGCAATTCTGTTATTCTACGCACAGTTTCCTTACACAGCTCTCTCCCTGGTTAAGCGGAGTTGACTGTAAATCCGTTCAAGTGTATACGGGGCACCTACTCGTATTAAAAAACAACAGGTCTTGTAAACAGCGACTCATATAAAAAGAGAATGCTGATCATTCTTGTTCTCCTATTAGATTCATAAGCTGTACATATTTATGTTACAAATTGTGTCGATAGAATAGCAGTGCAACAATAAAACATTGATATCAACAGTATTTCAAGTGAAGACACAAAACTAACACTTACCCAAAATGTCGTCCATGTGGCTTTCTGTATGTTCGGTCTCCGCACTACAACATGTCCACACACCTCAGTCAATAAGGCGTTGCTTCCCACATATGATTACTATATATTAGTGTTTTAACTGAACTCTAAAAATCAAGCAAAGGTCATGCAAGGTTGACAATTTTATAAATAATTATTATTTTTGTGTAAAAATACAGAGCTAATTTATGATTGTTTGTCACAAAAGAAATATATTTACATAATTCTTATGTCATCTATTGTCTACGCATCCTAATTGCTCAGATCGATGCTCATGTTGTTGTTGGTCACTGGATTGTCTGGTCCAGACTCGATTATTTACAGGCCGCCATATAGCTGGAATATTGCTGGGTGCGGCGTTAAATTCAACTCACTCACTCACTAACTCTTGTTTAATATCTATTGTGAAACAGGCCCGATGTTTGCAGTATTTGTTTTAGTGTAATAACTACGAGCATGGTAAAGTTAATCTATAAGCTTCATATGTAAAACTATAATAATCAGAAACCTTGTTGATTTGGAAAGTGAACAATGGCGTTACTTTTAGTGACCTCTGTGTGTTCCCCTGCACCATGTTGAGGTATTCTGACCTCTGTGTGTTCCCCTGCACCATGTTGAGGTATTCTGACCTCTGTGTGAGGGGTCCCTGCACCATGTTGAGGTATTCTGACCTCTGTGTGTTCCCCTGCACCATGTTGAGGTATTCTGACCTTTGTGTGTTCCCCTGCACCATGTTGAGGTATTCTGACCTCTGCGAGGTCTCCTTCCACCATGATGAGGTATTCTGACCTTCACTATGTATTCTGTTGACCTCTGTGTGTTCCCCTGCACCATGTTGAGGTATTCTGACCTCTGTGTGTTCCCCTGCACCATGTTGAGGTATTCTGACCTCTGTGTGTTCCCCTGCACCATGTTGAGGTATTCTGACCTCTGCGTGTTCCCCTGCACCATGTTGAGGTATTCTGACGTTTGTGTGTTCCCCTGAACCATGTTGAGGGTATTCTGACCTCTGCAAGTGTCTCCTGCACCATGTTGAGGTATTCTGACCTCGCTGCGAGGTCTCCTGCACCATGTTGAGGTATTCCCTCTGCGAGGACCTCTGCGAGGTCTCCTGCACCATGATGAGGTATTCTGACCTGTGTGTGTTCCCCTGCACCATGTTGAGGTATTCTGACCTCAGTGTGTTCCCCCTGCACCATGTTGAGGTTTCTCTCACCTCTCTGTGTTCCCCTGCACCATTTTAAGGTTTTCCTGACCTGTTTGAGGTCCCCTGCATCATGCCCCCTGCACATACACTTATATATCCATGACTTATGTTGTACGGCAAATATTTTGGACGCTGAACTGCTACGTGTGGTCCAACTGTAACGTCTTATTTGTTGTCTGTCCTTTATGTAGGATGACAACCTAATCCACCGGTAACATTATGATGTCATGCGACGCCGAGCAGTAGCCCGTCCAAAAGTGGCATGGCTACACTCGAGAATACTTGAATACACTACGCTATAATAAGGCAACTTATATAGCGCTGAACACCACGACGCAGGGACATATATGGTGGAAATTAGAAGTTGTACACTGGTCTCGAAGGGGACATGGGCTGATGTACCTTCGATGTTTGTTTATTTTAAGATGTATGGTTTCAGCTTGAACCTGCTTCAAGTGATATATTTTTTTAATTGTACTACGCAACACTATCACGGAATAAAGCAGTGTGTAAGAATCTGGCAGAATCGGATGTTGGTGACTATTGAAAGTGACAGAGGGTACATCAACCAATGGGCCCGATGGACTAGTAAACAACGTATTTATCTTACCGAACACCTCACTGGTAATTTTGAACTGTTTGAAACACGGGTATCGGATCATAGTATGGAGTACCATACGACAAGACGACAAGACAAAGTTAGAGTTATTTTCCTTCCATCGATTTCCATTAGCAAAACATCGGTAATTTCCGTACATCATACGTGATTCAATGTTATTCGAGATAAAGAATTACTACTACGAAGTACCAAATGAGATCGGCATTCCCAGCGGGCTACATAGAAAATGTTACTCGCTTGTAAAGGGGGATACATTGAAAATAATAGAAGAGCGCTCAGCCAATCAGAAACCGACATTTATGTGTGAGGCAAGATAATATTAACCAAGATAACCTGGCAACCTTAGGCGCTGGAAAGTTAATAGTCATATGACTTGTTCCACCGGGTACCTATTTTCTGCTGGGTGAACACAGCCAATTTTGAACAAACTCACATGAAACTGCATGTATCACATGTGCTTCGTTGTGGGGCAGGGCATTAGTCAAATAAACTCCCAGGAGTCAAGCTGGCAAACACGGTCACCAAGAACTACCCGTGACCAACGCTGCTTATCTTCACCTTTATCTGGGCTCTATGCACAGGACCACACGCATGTTACGCTTGAATAGCACACTAAGACAATCTGACCAAATGAACCTGCTTAATATTTCTTTTTATTCCAACAGTGTCATATGTATCGATACAGAGGTACAGACAATACAACACTCAATACTGCGACTTGTGAATCTGCCCTTGTAACCTCGATGGTAATTTAACCTTTAGCCTGCTGAATTAATTTCAACATAAGACGTTGTAAAGCGGGTGGGTGATTTCAAACAGTCGGTGTGTCATTAATTAAGGGACAACTGAAAACATGTTTGGCACATTAATGCTAGATAGAAAAACGAACATTATTATCTAAAAATATCCTGATAATTTCAAACATACAGAGGTTAATGACAAGGCAAACTATATAATGTAAATTTTCCTGAATTTAACTGAATTACTTGATTGACAGTGGAGTGCGTTTCATATAAGGAACCTGAATAAATCGTTAAATTAGCGCAAACCGACTTCAATATTCTTATTTTCGAAATCTCATAATTATCTGCAGTGACTTTAAATTCGTATATTTGTATCGGAAATTATCAGCGCGACTACAAAAACATTTCTGAAAAATATTAATCGAAAACGTTCGTCGTAAACAAATCGTATTTTCGATGTCATCACATATTTTATTCAAATGGCACTATTACGTTTATTCTAACGTGTCATGTCATGAAAATTGCAACAAAAATATATGATTTATGAATATTCACGAGTCCTCATTTCAAGTGTTATGGTTCGTTATTTTCGACACAAGCCGGCAGAAAACCACTGTTGCATCGTGTTACACGTACGATAAGCAAACATGGCGTGCTTCGTCCAACCCCAACATAAAATATTGCTATTTTGATAAGAAAAAAGTTTACAGGACTAACATGTATAAGCCCTGGCGAAAGTTGAAGAATTTCTCATTCTACAAGTGCTTCATTTATAATTTTCAGCTTAACATGACAAAAGAGAAACATAAATTAAGATCGTGAAATCTAACTTGTTTTCTGGTAAGTGCAAAGGTCACCGGATGTGATGTCACAGACAGGGGTTGTCTGGTAAAAATCTTGAAATACTGAATATTGAATACTAACAGTAAATTTGGGGATATTTCGTCTGGCAAGCCCAAATTTACCACAAAGCACTATTTAGAATGATTAATCATAGCTCACAGGAACAAAACATTGTGTTTTTGACTATATTATTGGCATATCACGGAACCAGTTTGACCTTGTATGCTCCCGTGACCCGGAAACAGTAGTCGATCAACACTGGGCCTCAGACCACAGTTACCCCCCTTAACTTTTGACCCGGAAGTAAAATATGAGAATATAGTGCCTTGTTTAAATAGGCTGTTCTGCTTGTAAGACATTGTACTTTATTGCAAAATTCTTTTGGTCCACAATCTACTCATGGTATTGACACCGGCCTTCCTTGATTTGACCCCAAGTTCAAGGCTGTCTAGTGTGTTTCGGCTCGTAACTTCCGGTGACCATTGTTTACAGTGGATACAGCAAAATTGACATGGTCGATCCAGGCTCATATTTTGCCGATTAAGTGACAAGTGGCAGGTTGGTCAGCATGCAACAGGAGAACAGCCTACGACCGATATTAATTATGGTGCACTGGCATGTCACTGTAGATAGCAAAGAAGGAAAATAATTGTGGTCTGAGGCCTGATATGGCGAAGGTAGTGCAAGTGTTTAATTTGCTATATGTCTGTTATTTTTCAAAATATTCACTTGAAACTTTGCATATTTACTGACAGGAACATTTGAAATCTGTATACATGTGTTTTCAACTGAAAATATTTTTTTTACATTTTTTTATGAATTTATTTCAATTTTCTGATTGCATATTGTTTTAGTGAGTGAGCGGACGCATCATATTTAGTCAGATTGGTTCCATTATGGTGAATGTATGTATCACTACGCCGCACGTGCCTTTTAGATGCATGTGGTACCTAAAATGGCTAATATTCAAGCCTTTTTCAAAAGATATAGAGCCAAGTTTGTGAAGAATTCAGTCCTCAGTGAGGAAAATGGCATATGTCATATGTGGACTGGAGCATGCAAGCACAGTGGGTATGGGGTATTGAGGTACTTTTGCCCCATAGCCTACCAGTGGCGTACTACTCATGCTCACAGGCTGAGTTTCATAGTACACACGGAAAACTTCGACATAGGTGATTACGACATCAGCCATTTGTGCCACAACAGTAAATGCACCTATGTCGAACACCTGTCTGCTGAGCCACACAGCATAAATGCAGACAGAGTGGCCTGTGTAAACAGGGGTGTGTGTAAAGGCCATGCACCTTTCCCAGATTGCCTTTTGGCATTGAAGTTATAGGAGAACAGAAAAACAAAGGCAAAGTATATGAAAAATACTATATCATATAATATAGTAAAATTTTATTCATATTTCCTGATTTTCACCACAGTCACAGTTGGTTGTGACATAGCACTTATTCACAACACATAGCTTTAGAGACATTATGATGTATTTAAACTTAAAGTTACACAGTATCTGTCTTTAGCAAGTAATTAGCACATACAGTTCTGCAGCATCACTGCACATTTTCAATATTTTGAATAAGAATGTTCATGGTTTTGCTGAAACAGGGTACAGGGTCTAACTGACCCTTTCTGTAGTCCCCACTCTGCTTGTCAGTCTGTTTAGACTTCAAATGTTCACAGATCTT